GAAAGCGACAGTCATTTACAGGCTTCGTTATTTAAGATTATGACTTGCCGTTAATGTGTTTGTTTATTTTTCTACAGGGTACAAATATGGAAACACCTTTAAAAAAACATGTTTCTTTGCTTAATATGGTGTAGGAAACCCGTTGGCATCCAAAACAGCTTGCAGTCTTCTCGGAATGGATAAATACAGTTCCTGTATGTTTGCCAAGGGAATATTATACCATTCTTCCTGCAAAACGGTGGCAAGTTCAGATAACGATGTTGGCGGTGGATAACGAGAACGCACTTTCCGTTCCAATGTAGACCACAAAGGTTCGATAATATTCAGGTCTGGTGACTGTGGTGGCCAGGGGAGATGGGACAACTCATCCTCGTGCTCAGAAAACCAGTCCTGGACAATGTGAGCTGTGTGAACAGGGGCTTTGTCGTCTTGGAAGACACCATCACCATCGGGGAACAAAGTTTGTACCATGGGATGAACTTGATCGGCCAAAATGTTCACATAAGTCTTGGCAGTCATGTGCCCTGACACAGTTATCATGGGGCTAGCAGAGAACCACGATATGGCTGCCCAAACCATAACAGAAACCCCGCCATGTTTCACTCTTGGCAACAAGCAGTCTGTATTATAGGCTTGAGATGGCGTTCTCCAGACGTAAACTCGGCCAGAAGTGGGAAACAATGTGAAAGAAGACTCGTCAGACCATATTACTCGCTTCCACTGCTCTATAGTCCAGGCTTTATGACTTAAACACCACCTTTTCCTGTTACGGGCATTAGCATCACTGATGAGTGGCTTCTCAATTGCAGCACGGCCAGCAATTCCCTGTTTATGAAGCTCCCTTCTAATTGTTTTGGTACTCACAGGGTTCGGTAACACAACATTCATTTCAGCAGTAACTTTTGCAGCTGTGGTCTTCTTATTTTTCGTCACAATTGCCCTTAATGATCGTCTGTCACGATCACTCAGGACACACTTTCGTCCGCGCTGTGATTTAGCAGATGATGTTTTTCCGCTTTTCAAATATGCGGAATAAATCTTCGATACAGTACCTCTTGAAACACTAAACACCTCGGCTACCTTGCTTACGGAAGCACCTACCATACGTGCTCCAACAATTTGCCCACGTTCGAAGTCTGTTAACTCTGACATAATGCAATGACAACCTCACATAACAGTACTCCGACAACAACTGAACTGTTTAGCACATTTACGAAGTTGTATAGGTGGCGTCAGTAGTCAAAAACGCCAGCGCCACCTACATATTTCATTAAAATCAATCTTTCTTTTCAAACATGCATTTCACAAGGTGTTTCCATATTTTTGTCCCCATTCTGTAGCATCTGAATAAAAAAAACCGAAGGTTTAATTCCACTGAATCAAAAAGTTTTAGATTTAAAAATCTTTTACTAGCAAACCCTGTGACGCTTTACAAGTAATATTGTAAACGTTTGTGAATCAGATACATTACTTAAGTCTTCAAGTAAACTGTTCGTAAATAAGTGTCCAACGTGCCAAATAAACCAATGGAAATGTGGGAGATATTAACATAACCATGATATAAAATGAGTGGTCATGTTTTTATAAAAGAAAAAACTATTTTATTTACCTCCAAAACAAAAAATCAAGACCCTGGATAACTAGCGGAAATGAAAAATTCGAGAAAATAATACATAATGTCATATACAGTGAAACAAGAAGGAATAAAGCTCTACTTTTTCTTCTGAATGTTAAAAAAAGGGTGCAAGAAAAAGATACGAAAAATTTGGACATTTGGAAAATGAAGGTTTGTAAGATATACATTTCGAATAATCTGATAAAATGTTTTTTAATATTCTTGAAGAATAAGTTTAAATTCTTAAAAGATAAGAGTTTTTAATATTTTTAAAGAATAAGTTTAAATTCTTATAAAACAAGTTTAAATTCTTAGAGAATAAGGGGTTTTAATGTTCTTAAAGAATACTCCCTTCACAAATTGAAGAAAATTTTCTGAGGAAGTTTTAAAAAAAAATCTGCAATCAAAATCTAAAAATGATGAGCAGTCAACGACTTTTGAATTTCGAGCATTAAGTTTCATGCTCTGTTACGTGTACAATACTGCAATTAAAGCGCCTAGACGTACACCAGAAGACACGTCCTAGTCCTTTAAATAAGCTAATGCCGTAAGGAAAGTATTTAATAATAAGAAACTTTAATAATTTATGCATCTAGTATCTCATAGTTTCTTCAATTTCTCTGAAGGTTTTAGCCTACACTACATACAATAAAATTATGCGCAGTTAAAAGGAATCAACGTCTAGATATTGCGGCAAGGGAATAAATTTTTCCAAACTGGAAAGGAATCGACAGAATACTGCTGGCAGTTGTAAATGTCATAACTTTATGCATACGTTTGTAGCATGTAAGGGATTTAACCTCGGATATAAATAACGAAATGGACTTGATATCCTTCTCTTTCGTCTGCAAAGGACCCCTTTCAGCCATGCCCTTCGCATGGCAAATAGTTCAAGGTTGTGCTAAGGTCGAAATTACGTCCTTTTTCTGGTGTCCGATTTCTTCAGTCTTTTCAGACAAGATTTACAGCTGTGCATTACTTAGCCTTCGCGTGAGCGCTTTGGGCTTGTTAGAAGCAAGGCGAAAAAAAAAAAAATAAATAAATGCAAAGAAGGTGATGCGTCTGAATAGTCACGTCATTCTTGGTAGTGAAAGTTAAATTCATTGATAAGCATTTCGTGTTAAAAAGCATTAAGCAGCTAATATTATCTGAGAAAAATGCTGTGTTTTTACTTCCTCACCTTCCCCTTTCAAGATAATTTCTTCAGAAATGCTGGTGATTTTTAAAGTAAAGATATTCTAGTACAGGTTACTTACGTAATTCAAACTTCCTTACATTATGTATACAGCTAAAATCTTAATCTTTATTCATTAGGCTTACGTATCTCAAGAAAAAGACAAAGTTTAAGTGTCTGAATTAAAAATGTTTAATGCTGTTGAAAACTAGGAAATAATTAGAGTTTGAAAGAGATTTTAATGAAAGCACTAATAATATTTTAGTAATACCAATAAACTTGTCGTTTCTAAATGGTAATTGCAGGAAGTTTACAGATGAGACAGCTTTTGCTACCAAAATTTGCATTGGGACAAATTAAAATTGGGATTAATTTACATCGGATTATCGGTTTCATTACTTTTTGGTTGAAAATTTTTGTATTTGTCGAGGATTTCAATGGTCTACCAAACGTTGATAAGAAATTGTCAGTGTGACATCTGCATCAGCTATAGAAGTTAAATACTTAACTTTTTGAGATCATAATATCTTGTTAATTGAAAAATTACTTTAAATTTTATCAATGCATCAGATTAAGTAATAGGAAAAAAATAATATTTAATTGTAAAGGCCTGCATTTATCACTAGAGCTCGAGCCAGAAATTGAAACTAAATCAAACAGCAATCCCTCTTAACTAGTCTAAAAATCCATACAAAGTAACGAAAGAAAGATTTCCAACTCCATACTCCACTACATATCCACTCTGCTTTTCTTTACCAACGATTTTACGTTTTACGTTTCCTGTTCAGTAGGTACTTTTCTATTTATCAGGAAATTTTGAGGATACAAAATTTATATGGGACAACAGCCTGATTAATGACCGACACATATACCTGCGTATTAGAGAATATCCATATACAAAACTTCAAAGCACATTTGCCAAGCTTTGCAAATCTAAAAATTAACAGTTTTGTTTTCTTTCTCTTTCTCCTTTTTTAAAGCCATGGAAATTATGCCCAAGATTTAAGTTGCTTTTCTTAGTAAACAACACTTTTGAGTTCCGTCTTTAGCAGTTAATTCAGATACAATCGAACCTCCATCCTCCCCCATTAACGAATTCCTGGTAATAGACGAAAACCTTGGTTCCTCGAGTGTCAGCTGGAGGTTCGATTGTATCCCATCCTTCAGTTATACACATACAAGGCCATTATCAGTACTGAGCACCCATTTCAAATTCTCTATCCCTTCAAAAATATCAGCAATTATTTAGATGGCTCTTTCAGACATTATGGATATTAATTCCTCACCATATTCACTAACTTTTACAATTTGAGTTATTAAAACAATGATTGAAATTGTTGTATGTTTAAAATATTCCAGCAGATCTCATCTCTTATTCTGGGGTTTTTCTATGACGTGAATGAAATGATGCAGTATAATTTCATGAGCGCACGCTTAATTTAAATCGTGATTAAAATGCTTTGTGCAAGTTCTAGAAAATATTTATTAATTGTTTAGGTTAATGAAACAGAAAACATTCTTTTCATTTCGTGGTATGCTGAAAATTATACCCATAGTCAGTATATCAGTGACATTTCTCTGTTGATCTATAAATAGTAAAATAGTATTCTTTAAGCCTATTGAGGATATTTTCAATATTAACGCGTATTTAAATAAGAGGTTTAATTTACAATAGCATTATTCCTACAACGGAAAATTTTAACCATTTTGTAATATATGCTCAAGCTACTGTATTATCAGCAATTTCACACAACTGCTTTATTTTAGGAATATTATTTCCTGCATACAAATAACACGCACATAAAAGAATATTTTGTGATTATTTGTAAATTCATGTATTTATTTATATGAACTATATGAGCTAACATTTTTGGCTATATAAAATAAACCTTTCAGAAACTACATTAACAGTTGTTTTGCGAACTCTCATCTCTAGGTTTGAAGATGAAATTTTGTGTTTTATTAGCTATGATAAATTAGATAAATATATCACAATCTCAGCACACCTATGTCGACAACAGCTCTCATCACTTATGCGCCGCACGCGTACATCTCAAAACACTTTATTGTACTGGGTCAGGGAGATTGGTCCCCCTACATTATGAGGTCATCTGTATTGAGGTTAGTCAAGGCAACAAGTTGTTGAAATCTGCTCGGTGTCTTCCAAAGAACCAATGAAAATGGTTGAAAACAATTTCCCCCGTGTCTCAATACCCACTTTTTCTAGTGTCAGGTGATAGCGAAATTTTTCCGGCGGCGTGTAGACATTACCAGACTAGAATTACCTCTCAGCGAACAAGCACGAGAAAATCTTCCAAGAATCCAGGCTACTTCACGTTCCATCTGCACGTGCTGGTAAGCATCTCCCATGTAATTGTAAATGTTTTGAATACATTTCTAACTCCAAGAAATTTCACGATCTGCAGGTACTTCAGAGTAAAATTTACGTAAAGGTGTCGATAATTTGCTGTTCATAAATTTCAGTAATTAATTTCTGTACTGAGACAGGGGAAAAATCCAAAATACTCTGGTCTCTATTTTAAAAACCGTCTCAAAATGAGTGCACTACGTCAAATAATAACATGATTTGTTTTTCTTATTTAAAAAACTGCAGAGTTAAAGAATTGAAACTGCAAAATTATGTTTTCTAAGAAAAGAAAAAGTGAATTTAATCCATGCTTTTAGAAAACTTCCAATAAAATAAGTGAATTATAAATGTTGAAATGGAAGAAAATACACAGGACTTTGAACACATTTTTATTTAAATATTCATGATTTTGTTATTTAAGTAAAAGACAAATAGCTACACTGAAATTATTATTAAAAAGATATGTATGAAGGGGGAAGTGTACTATTAGTCACCGATAACTTTAATTATGATAATTTAGTGCGCACCTGTTGCCATATTATCTTTGTAGTTTTTTTTTTTCTAGTTTAAAACTTAAGATTTCTTTAAATATTTTATAGAGCAGCATAATTCCTTAGCATACTGGAAATTATAAAATAACAATGTGATTCATAAAATATGTCTTGAATAAATATATGTTATCGTATAACGGCTGCAATCATTTAATTTCTGAAAAGAATTACGTCGATGCTATAAAAGGAACGAAGGAAAAGTAGTACTTTAACTTTTTAATTAAGCGAATGTTTTCCTTCATCATGAGTATAACTTTCATATAGGATTGTTGTTCTGCCATTATAAACTGCAAAAATTAATAATCTGACAATGAATTATACATTATACTTTTATACAATGCTTATATTCATGTCGGCTTTCATTATTAATACATTATTTCAAATTCATTACTAGCTAGATTCTAAAACACGATGATTATTGCAGCAAGCATCATTAATTAATTTCCTGTTATACGTGTAATCCTTTCGAAATGTTTTTAGTTTCTTCTCCAACGATGTCAATCTATGAAAAACACTTTGCTAAGATCAGAGAAAAGAATTAAATTCAACATAACAACAAGGCTTCAGAATGCAGCAGAAGAGTTTCTAAATAACTCTGCTGATAGAGAAGTAGTTGCAGTTTAATGTTTCTGAATTTTCAAGTCATTCTCCAAAGAAAACATTTCATTTCTTTATCATTCACATTCTCTACTTCTTTCCCTTTGAAATCTTTATAAGGAAGTTTTATAAGTAGAATTCATAAAGTTTACTGTTTACGAATGGCTCACTTAAAAACACAATTAAGGTACTTTTTTTAAAAATTCCTCTGGTGTTTGAGCATTTGCTGGAAATTGAGGTAAGACGAATGGAATGTTTTGTTTTCTGTTTCATTTGTTTCATCCAGAACCTTTTGCACTCTGTGTCTTGCCGCTGTGAGAAGGTAAGTATTAAACTCTTACTGCTAAAGGTAAGTTTCGTGTGTCTTTCATTCTTCTTGAATTGATATATTATGATTTCAAGACTCTCGGGTGTTTTGGTTCAATCAGTTCATTATTGCACACACAAATACAAACATTTTTAGAGGTCTAAACATAATACCTTACCAAACCACAATTAATAACTTTTGGGCATGATTTAAAACCATTGTTTTAAGTAACACATTTATTTGACATATCATTATATTTATATAATATAGTATAAAATATTACGGTAAATTATAAGAAAGTCTTCTTGTCTAACTTTCAACGTATTTTAATAAACGAAAACATTATTATTCACTTTTGGCTTTTAAAGTGATACGCTGTAACAGGGAAAGTTACTTAACGAATAAAGAAAATGAAGTCGAGTGATTACAAAACTTGGGAATCTTAGTTTGAATGCTCCAAGGTCACTGAGCTGCGAAAGATACCCGCTCTCCCTTTTTCATTCCTGTTTGCCTTTGTCGCTACGTATCGAATTGTGATGGCTGATTGCTATTCCGATGATTGCTATTCCGGTGATTCCTGTGTAAGAATTGGCTATTCACAAGCTGCCTTGTACGTTTTTTGAGGGTGCAGTATCGGCTCGACCCCTGAGAAACATAAACCTTGGGCAGTGCTCCTTTTAATGAGGTTGTTAAATGGATGATAAATCCGGCTAATAATGCCCGGAAAATGCCGTACCGGCTAAAGCCATTGGATCTAAAACAGTAACAATTTTGTGTGGCTAGAGAGTAAGGTGCGCTTAAATGTCTCTGTTAGGACACATTGTAGATTTTTTTTTTTTAAAGTCCACCAAATTTAGATTTAACAGGATGTCAAGAAATACCTTTAATATAATAGGTGCAATAATTTTTAAAAATTCCATGTTCAAAATCCATTATTCAAATAAAGGAAGTACTATACTTCTTTATGCTCTATTACTATTTAAAAACTTCTTTAACTTTTTTTTGTGGATTTTTTTCACAGTAATACTATTTACTCTAAGTGCTAGTCAATTTTCAATCAATATTTCCATTTTTAATTTATCTAATATTTGCATTTCAAAAGATATGTTATCAGCTTCCCAAGATCTGTAACGTTATTAAGAATAGTAAGATTAATATTATCTTTTCGTAAGTTCCTGTTTGGACTTACTTCCCGTTTGGATGTTTGAAATGTACGTATTTACTTACTGTAAATACATACATTACAATATCAGCCATTTTTAGAGCATTAGAATATAGATTCACAAGGAAAATTTTCAGATAGCTAGGCTCATTATGACGTGATCGGAAAGCAGTCTGTATATTAACATATTTATTAACTTATAATATATTTTGCATGTTTTGCAAAAAGAAGTAACCTTGTTTTACGTAATGCATTCGAGATTCAACAATTTGAAGGCTAATTACTACTATAGATTTCAGCATATATCTCTTGTTTTCATCTTCTTGTTAATGAATCTCTTGTTTTCATTAAGCGTACGAGTAATAGTGGAATCGTCATGTCGTCCAATTTCGCAGGTGCATGGTTCAAAAAATAGATTTGACTATGAATGCATTTAAGCAGTTACACTTATCTAATTAAATCTTATAAAGGGAAATAAAAAAAATATATAAATAAAAGTTTTTATTAGATAAGTTTTATTTTAAATTCATAAAATAATTAATGAATTAAAGGGGTAAATATCAGTTATCATGTAATTTAATGGGAACAATAGATTAACTAATTCAATTTATAAAGTTGATCTAGAGCTTTTATCTGGAACAATGAAAGCGTGAGCTCCAAAATAACGAAATCTACTAATCGTATTTCATTGTCAAAAGCCATTACCATTACAAGTTTATCAAGGGTGTCCCACACTTTTATTATTCGTGATATAAAATTGTAGATGGATTGGATTGGATTATTCAATTATGGCAAAGCACACGAGGGCTATCTACCTAAAGGGAGGGATGCCTTCGTGGAGGACTTTCTAAGGCAAACTGGCTCGTATACAAGTAACACATGAGGAAAACCACGAAAACGCCCATGCAGCCAGCCCGTTGGCGGAATTTGAACCTCGGACCGAACTACCAGTGTTCAGAGTCTTTACCGCTCGGCCGCTGGTGGCGAGCCCTAAAATTGTACATGAATTTTGTAAAGGGCCCTTTTTAATCTTTTGCTTCTATTAAACTATATGATAAATATTTTTCCTTGTCGCTCATTAATTATTTTAAATAAAAGATTATTCTATAAAATTTTTTTTATTAAATATGGTTTTAATACTCAAACACTTTACTTTCTAGGCGGTTCTATGTTCAACTCTATTATAATTGTTATAATACCTGAAAACTGATAGTTTTATCTTGGGTTCCGTTCTCATGTTAAACAAGTTGACTCGATCAGTTTTTAGTTGTTTTATTTTTTACACATGTATAATATAAAGAGGATCTAATTTGAAAAATTAGCTTCCGAAGGTAATAGGTAGCTAAAATATTCCGAAATTAGCGGCATATTTTGTTATAATAAATAAATTCAATTCATTTACCTTCCTGTTTGAAAGGCTACATAATTTCATATTTACATGAGTGCACTTTTAAAAATGAATACTACTTTCTGACAACTGAAATAGATGCAATTCCTTTTTGCATTTGACTTTGATTTTAATGCGTTTGTTGCATAGCAAAAGCAATTTTGTTGTTAGGATGCCACTTATTTGTTAATTAATGGCAATTGTTTTCGATTTTGCTTTATAGATTAAAATATACTCATTATTTATGTTAAGCCTATGAAATCAACGAAGCTACAGTCATATGTGTCACCGAAAATTTATTCAGCGTACACAGCGGCACATTTTGTACGTTCTTTTGGATTAGTCATTGTTTAATTTCGAGATCCATGGTTTTGCTTTTTAAATGTAATATTTTTAATTTTCATGAAAATGCACGAAGTTTTGAAACCTATCAGTTCTGACTTGTCGAAAAAAATGTATATAAAAACTAGAAAATAATTGACTAAACAAGGGATGTGAAAAATAATATAAAGAAAAATTGGGATAACTACCTTTTCTACTCTTTTTCAATATTAAATGAAACGTAGGAAAAAGTATTTATTGTATAAATAAATAATTAAAATAGTTATTATATTTTTCACCCGCCTACACGAATATAGTAGTTACAAAGGCTTCACCTTTTAAATGATTAAAATTTATAAATTAACCCATAATTTCTCACCATAGTTTTATTTACCGTTCAGCAAAATACATTAAAATAATGCGATGAAGAAATTATATCCCTTTTTTAATATATTCATCCGATCTATAGACTACCGAAAATTTGACATTAGAAGTAAATTTTAAAAAATACACATCTTGCAAAGGACTTCTAAAGCAACGAAATTTCTAAAATTTTGATATTAAATCCATCATAATTTTCGTTTGCTGGAAGCTATGATAAAAAAATCACGTTAATGAGCTTTTGTTAGCCACATTAAGTCACGTTAATGATGTTTATTTCA